AGCAAAATGACTTCTATTCATCAAGTTTGAGTGTTTTTTAGTGTATTAATTACTGTTAATTTAAAGATTTAGTGATAAAACATCAATTTAGAGTATTTTTCAATTTTTTCTTTTCAAAGGCCGGGCCTAAGTTTCCCTATAATTACCCTATTTCCAGGATTTGGGCCCTATTTGTTAAGTTGGGGTCCGTATAAAAAAAACATGGGCCGATATCTTTTTAGAGAACTTTTTTTTCTTATAAAAATAAAGTAATACCCTTTTTTCACTCATGATCAAAGTAGTATTATAAAAAGTAATTTAAATATATTTGTAGTATTTGATTTTCCATTTTCAAAAATATTTGTAATTTAGGATTATTATCTTAAAGTTTATTATTCAAATTTTGAATTTCATAAAAATTTATGTGCTTTTCTTTCTTTACAGTTTTGTAGGGAGAGAAATCTTGTCTTTATCATATGTGCTTTGATTTGGTGAGAGAGATTCCATCCTTATTGTTAAAATTCTACCCATATTCTCCTTCATTCCGATATACAATGGGCCAGTATCTTGCATTTCGGGGAAAGGAAGTTACAAAGATCATTCTCCACATATTCGTCTCAACTTTTGGATGATAATAATTCACAAAGACAAGAATATCACATCACATAATGTTATATACAATTAAGGTCACAAATATAGTTAACACGAACATAACTTTGGTCCAGTGCATTTAAGGTCCCAATTTTTATACACGAGGCACAATTTTGGGAAGAGACGTACGACAAATTATGTCAAATATATACATATTTGTCACAGCTTTCAGCAGAAAATTAAATCACATAGAAAGCGATGTCGCATAACATAATTCCAAATGTTTGATGCCATTTACTGGTCGTGGCCTTCCACAATTTGATGTAAATAATTTGATTGCACGAGAAAAAAGGTCGAGAAAAATTATAACCAATGGAGCCACAATTCCATTTTGTTTTTCTTCACAAAATAATTGTCATTCTAAATAGAGTTATTATATGGTGGGAGAGAAAATTAACGATATATGTCACGTTGTCCTTGTATATCCATCCATTTAAAGACATAAAAGTGGATTGTATTCGAATGAAAATCCAACCAATTTGTCTCATAGAATGTCAATTTAGGAAACTAAAATCAGACAATCAAACAAGTTTGACCGGTCCACCCACCTTCAAATGAATCCAGACTCACTATCCAAAGACTTGGTTCTTTTCACAATTGGCTTTTAAGTAATTAATTGATGGCCTTCGAGGGAGATGACCACGGATTTCTGTGTCGTTTAATAATATAAATGATATACTTATAAATATATATCTTATAATTAATTTGAATAAACATCAATGTCATGAAAATTATGTCAGTGACTCGAATATTATCATGATATGTAACGAAAGGTTATCAAAAAGAGTCGAATCGACCAAACGATTGAAAAAAGAGATTTGTACATATGAGAAAATAGACTTGTACTTACTGGTTGGGGACTAAGCTGCCCAATCGCCCTTTGATCGAGTATAACTTACTTTAGATGAAAGGGTTGAATAAAAGAGAATTAAAAGGGAGAACCAAAATGTCAATTTCAAGAAAAGATTCCTCGAGCATGAACATGCGTATGACTCACCACGTGAAGCCATGAGAAGAGTCAGCAATTATTTATGAGAAAAATAAAGGCACATTCAATCAGAATGCCCGACTCTTTTTAAGGTCCTTGGATTCTTATGTCTCCTTTTTATGTTTTTGTTGTAACCCAATTTTATGTGCAAAGTTCTTAGCAAAATCTGACACCCACCACCATTAGTTTTTTCTATCCCCATGCCACTGGAGAAACACTTGCTCTTGTAGTTGATATATTGGAGCTCGTACTCTGTCTAGATTCCTGCACACTAACAAATATTACTCAATTCTTTTTATTATAAAGTACATGAACGTTACTCTCAGAAGCTCCTTTCAAGTTCTCTCTACTTTTGCTAGCAAAATTTCGTAAACATTTGCTACACCTTTTAATGGGAAAGAAGGGAGGAAACTCATGGCTAACAGCAGTCAAGAGGGCCTTCTGGTCTCCTGAGAAAAAGAGCTGCAGAAGGAAAGTAGATCATGAACAAGAAGATGATGAAAAGGTAATGTAATTAATGTTATCAAGATGTTTGGTCGTGCTTCAAAATGGCTTTTTTAGCTGCTTTTTTTTTTTTAAGCACGTATGCGTATTTTGTTTTCACAAGTTTTGGTCTTGTGCAGAAGCGGGAGAAGAGAAAATGGCTTTTCGGGAAGGCTTCCAATCAGTCTCATCAACCGAGTGAAGCAAAGGTGGCAGCCGCAAATAGAGGTGTTTCTGCTAGAACCTCCGCCTTGCCTGCTGAGGAGAGGCATGCCATTGCAGTGGCAGCTGCCACGGCAGCAGCAGCTGAAGCTGCTGTAGCTACAGCTAAAGCTGCGGTGGAGATCATTCGGTTGACCAGCCAACAATCCAAGACAAATTCCAATACGAATTCATTTAGACGACAGTCTGCTACTATACTCATTCAAACTGCTTTTAGAGGCTACCTGGTTAGAATTTCACATTTCATTAGCTTAGTCTTTTCTGTTTCTTCTAATTATTATTGGTTCTCAGGAAGAATTACTCTGTCGCTGTGTAGGCAAGGAGGGCTCTTGTTGCTCTCAGGGGGATTGTAAAACTTCAAGCTTTAATCAGAGGACAGAATGTGCGGAAACAAGCAAAGACGACTTTGAAATGCATGCAGGCTCTGCTCCGAGTTGAGGCTCTGGTTCGTGATCAACATGCACGGCTTTCCCATGACGGAGGCCGGAGGTCCATGTTCGCGGAAACCACCAACTTGTGGGAATCTAGGTACCTTAAAGACATTAGAGACAGGAAGTCCATGGTACGTACTAATTTGGGTCCATAGTTACTGCAAGAGGTTAAAAAACATTGATGGTCATTGAATTTTAGCTGAACGAGTCACTTAGTTCATGTCTGTCAGATTCACTAAAAATTGAAGTATGAGCCTAGTCTATATAACTTAGTTGGCAAATGAAGTCACATTCTCTAGTAGTCAAACTAATGGAAATGGACAGAGCCATCAAATTGTTACAAAGTTTAATTTCAGTTGCACGGATTTAAAATTAACTATACTAATTCTACAGTCTAGAGATGGAAGCTGTATTACAAATGATAGGAGCGACTGCCCATATACACTTGAAGAACTCGAAACAATCTTGAAAGCCAGGAATGAAGCTGCCTCAAATCATGATCAAAAGTCTCTGGCATATGCATTCTCTCAACAGGTTTCACTTTATTACCCTTTCTTGAGAGAATTGATTAATTAAACACTTCTTACTCTGGAATCTATGTACTAACGTTTTCTGTAATAATTTTCATTTCCCCGCAAAAACAAGATACGGAATTGTGATTCAAATCCATATGCTGAAGAATGTGAGCCAGAAAAAGACAGTACAGATTGGCTAGATACCTGGATGAGCAGAAACTCCATAGATCATAAAACAGACTCAATCAAGACCGTTGTAATGGATACCCCAAATTTGAATCTTCCCTCTAGAAACTCACACTACCGTAGTCCAATCCACAGACAATCAATCCCATATTTTGATGCTTCTCCCCACCACAGTTCAATTTACAATGTCCCTATAGCCCCACAGCCTATTACGCCATACTCAATGTCAAAAACCAGATCCCAGCAAGTGCGTTCCGCAAGCCCTAGATGCCTCAAGGAAGAAAAAAGCTACTCGACAGCAAATACTCCAAGCTTGCGCTCCACTAGTACTCACCGCATTAGCAGTAGTAATTTCCGCTACAATACTTGTACAAATGAGGCTGCCGGAAATGCTGTAATCCCTAACTACATGGCGACAACTGCATCGGCAAAAGCTCGAATTCGATCGCAGAGTGCTCCACGACAAAGGCCCTCCACACCGGAAAGAGATCGAAGTGGATCGGCGAAGAAACGACTATCTTACCCGATACCCGACCCATATTTTGTGAATGTCGAGTTTGGGTGTCCAAGCAGTATAAGCCAGAATTTGAGAAGTCCAAGCTTCAAGAGTGTTCACGCAGGCTATGTAGGAATGGAGCAACAGTCAACTCGATCTGATAGCATTGGTGGAGAAATTTCTCCATGTTCAACTACAGATTTAAGAAGGTGGTTAAGATGAAGGCCGGTGCTTAAATATCAAGAAAACTAGCTAAAAAAATCTTTAATTGGTTTTCTACAGTTTGATAGAAGATTGAGGCAGCAAAAGACTTGAGATTTCTATTTCTTGAATTGGTTTTAGCTAAAAAAGAAGCGATGAAGTTGGATCTTTTTATGGTTTCTTTTTCCAATTTTATCTAATTTTCTGCAGTGTTTATATTTTTATTACAATTGGACCGTTTCTACTAAAACTAGAAGAATTCATAACCTGGGCAATGGAACTCATAACTCAGCTTATATATTGGGCAAAAGAAGTTGTTGATTTGTTCTGATAGTAAGCGATACCACCAAAAATCATACATTTTGATTTCTGAGCTTGACAATTGTGAATGAATACGAGCGAGATCTTTCGGTACTGGAAACAAAGACGTCGAGATGTGTCATCGTCGCCCCTCCTATGCATAAGCTACAAAGAGAATTTATATGTGAGACTATAGACCGAAAATTATGTAAAAGCGTATCTGAATGTCGATCAAAGTCTTTATATTTATATTGGTAGGTAGAGACCTAATAAGATTGGATTAGTTGAACATCTTTATCCAATTTGAGGAGTTATAGGATGTTTGGAAGTCTTACCATGTCTAGGCCCCTGTTTGGTACACATTATTTTTTTCATTCTCATTCTTTTACTCATTTTCAACTACACATTTTTAATATATTTTCCATCACATCAATAACTTTTCCTTTCTTTTCAACCACACATTCTCCATNTGAATTTAAAACTTAGCCCCTATTTGGGTCACATTATTTTTTCATTCTCATTCTTCTACTCATTTTCAACCACACATTTTTCAATAAAATAATATTTTTCATCACATCAATAACTTTTCCTTTCTTTTCAACCACACATTCTCCATTAATCTACTATTTCATAATAGATTCTTTCAAAATAATGTGGCTCAAACACTCCCTAGAAATTGTAATTTGATAGATATTAGGCAATTGGTGTTAGGATGAAGGTAATTGTGACAGTGGAGTCCCATCATGAGAGAACAAAAGAGATATGGTAGGACTCAACCCTATCGAAGTTGGATAAGCCTTATCATATAGAAGAGTCTTAATGGACTAGGTGTGTTGGAAGCAAAGTCAAGGCATATACCCGAGGAGACCTAGAATTGATGGACGATTTTCGTACCCAAGGACATAGGCCGACGAGGTCTATTTGGACCGCAACAAAAAAGTTGAGAACACATACCCAAGGAGTTCAAGTAAACTTTCCATAAAATGGCCAATATTCAACCTCTGGTATGCGATCCTCGGGTTGGACAACTTTTTGCTATACCAATGGCCCACTTTCATCCATGTCAGAGGCTTGTGAGATATACGAGTTTCTGGAATGAGATGTACAAGTATGTCGGGTTCAAAAAGTAGGCAAGCTCATNTTTCATCGATGTCAGAGGCTTGTGAGATATACGAGTTTCTGGTATGAGAGGTACAAGTATGTCGGGTTCATATAGTAGGAAAGCTCATGACAACGAATAAGCATGCTCATGTTTAGAAGTTGGCATGCTAAAGCCAAGGATTTAGCATGATCATGCCAAGTATTAATCATGCTCATGCCTAGAGGTTGGCAAGCCAAAGCCAAGGATTTGATATGATCGTGACAACGAGCAAGCATGCTCATACCTAGAGATTGGCATGCTAAAGCCAAGGATTATGCATGGCCTTGCCAAATAATGGACATGTTTATACCAAGAAATAGACAAACTCATGCCAAGGATTAGTCATGCTCATATTTAAATGTTGGCACGCTAAGGCCAAGGATTTGGCATGCCAAATCCTTATTTTTCTAATCATACATTCTCCAAAAATTCATTATTCAAATAATATTCTTCCAAAAAAATGTCCATCACGGACTTAACAATGTCACAAATTCTAATTTTTTTTAATCCCACATTAGGGGTGTCCAAAAGTCTCGAACTGGACTGAACTAAATTGAGCAGTTCTTCATAAATTAAATACCCGAACGGATACTTGAATCGAGAACCGATGGGTTTGGATCGGGTATCGAGTCTAGACCAAGAATCGAAGAACAGAATAAGAACCGAAACTAAATAATTTTTTTATTTTTTATATTGAATTAATTAAATTCTTGTATTTTTTTATACAAATTAGCAAATTAATTAAATAAATCAGATTATTTCATAATTTTAATTTGAAA